TTTGAAGCCGCTGAAGTGAGGTCTCCATCCCAAAGACTGTGGACTGACTCTGGTGAATTTACCTTCTACTTTGGAGAATGCTCTTTCTGTTCCATCCAAGGGAAAAGGGTTTTGTTTGTTTGTTTTATCCATTCATTTATTTTAGTTTGATCAGAGAAGGACAGAGTGAGAGAGAGGTAAAGTGAGAAAATAAGCTGCCAGGTCCAGGACTTGAACCAAGGTCAACCATGTGGGAGTCCAGCGTCCAGAGCCCCCAACCACCACGCCACCTGCTGGCCTTGAAAGTGCAGTGCTTTTAACCACCATGCCACCTGCTGGCCCTAAGGAGAAGGTTTTGAGCTCAGGACCAATATGCAGAGTCATCTGAAGAATTTAGACCTAAGCAATGAGTGAGTTTACTAGAAAAAATTAATAATTATTTATTTATTTTATTTAATTTGTTATTATTATTTATTTCTTAAATTTGACCAGAAAGAGGCAGAGAAAGGGAAAGGGAAAAAGCAATCTGCCAGGTTGGGGACTTGAACCATGGTCTGCCATGTGAGAGTCCAGGGCCCCAAACAGCCCCCAGGTCTACCTTTCTTTTCTTTTAAAAATTTATTTATTTAAATTTATTTATTGTGATTATTACTCATTTTGATCAGACAGACAGAGAGGGAAAGTGAGAAAGCAAGCCACCAGATTCAGGACTTGAACTGTGTTCGGCTATGTGGGAGTCCAGTGGTTTAACCACCACATCACCTGCCGACCCCAGCAGGTTTACCTTTCTTATGGTGAGCCATCACTGGAGATTTTTCAGAAGGTATTTTCCTCATCTTTATTCCTGAGCACTCAGCATCTCGCAGGTACACTCACTCACTATGGACTTGCTAAGTCTGTTCAACTTAGTGGCAGGGGTTTTTTTTTTTTGGGGGGGGGAGAGGTTTTCGCTATAGGACACAGTGAGCTCGCTATAAAGACAGAGAGAGCTAGAGAGACAGAAAGCAAGAAATCACCCCTTGGGGGGGATGGCCACGCCACAATCCCTTCTCCTCCATTCTCCTCTCAGGATCTTGGGCACGCACGCACACACGCCCGGCATGAGTTTAAGCCACAGGGTCCGGGACGCGAACCACGGTCTACTACGTGGGAGTCCAGCGACATAGCCATTACACAATCCGCTGGTCCCCTAAGTAGCAGTTTTAAGGGGGAGAGAAGGAGAGGAAGGCTCTTCCTCCCTTCTGGCTCTGGAATACAAAAAAGAGATTCTATCTACAGTAAACCCGGGGTAGTGAGTGACTTGGTTTCCCCAGGGCCCCATTTTCTGTCATCTGGAACGCCTCCCTCCACAAGCCCAAGCACGGGTTTTCCTGTGTTGTTGACTTCATCTAGAAAAAGTCCACGCTCCATCTGCTCTGCCCTGTCCCTCAGCACCTTTCTTCGGCACTCCACTGGTCACTCCACCCCTGCTGACCCGCCCCAGCCGGCAAACCCTCACAGGTTGAACGTTCAGGATGTGATGTCGTTGCCCACAGATGCCAGGACACAGTCCCAGGGACGACTTGGAGAGGCCACGTGCGCGTCCCCCCAGGACGAGGGAGCAATCCCTGCCGCTCGTTTTGTTCCAATGGTCTGTTCAGTGAGTGATTCTCGTTTCCCCGAGGCTGCCCCTCATTAGCATGAACGGGGGTGGGGGTGTGGAGAAGGGGTGGGGGGAGAGAAAGCAAGCAAAAGCCCAGGCTCAGTTTTAGAGCCTGAGAACCCTGTCTGCAAAAATGACAGCTCGGGCTTTCTGGCTTCTGTGCCTGCTCGTCGGATCATCCCCCGAAGCCACAGTGGCGGAGAGAAAAGGTAAGATCCGTGAAATGCAGAGCCCCGGGAGAGGAGCGGGGACCTGGGAGGGAGCTGCGGAGAGGGCGCGAGGGAGAGCGGGCCGAGGGGGGCGCGGAGCTGGGAGTGGGCGAGGGGCGTCGG